TGAACTCCTGGCCTCAAGTAATCCTCTTACCTCGGCCTCCCAAAGAACTGGGATTGTAGGTATGAGCCACTATGCCTGGCTTCGCTTAGCTTTCCAATCACTCATTCTTTCCATATATATTCATTGAGCTTCTATTATTTACGCCGTGGTAGAGGTAAATAAAACTCTCTTCCTTAAAGGAGCTTAGAGTGGTGGTTCTTGACTCTGTTAGACCCAAAGGTCCCTCGTTTTTTTAAACAAATATTTTGTAAAATTTCTTTCACAATCTCAAAATAAAATTCGCATTTAAAATGACACGCTTATGCAGAGAATTTAAAAATGAACATTATCCTCGGGGGCTGGGAGAAGGGAAAAATGGAGAATTGTTTAAGGGGTGTAGAGTTGCAGTTTAACTAGATGAAAAGTTCTCGAGATTGGTTGCACAACAATGTAAATATACTTAGCACTATTGAGCTGTATATTTCAAAATGATCAATATGGTAGACTTGCAGATGTTTATTTTTATCACAATTTAAAATATTCCACATTGTCCTAAATGTAATATAAAGGAGACATAAAGAAGAAAGTAATTTGTAATGTAATAATATGTGTATCTCATGTGTTAATTTCCAGGCTCAATTGGGCAGAACTATAATGATGTAGTCAAATGCACTCATCCGATAAAATAAATAAGAAATAGAGGTCATTTCAAAATAAGAGGTACAGGAAAAGGAAAGAACAGAGGCATATGTGAACACTAGAATAGAAATAGTTTAGGAGAAACTAAAACAAACCACACTAGTTTGTATACGATAAGAGAACAAGATGAAAACCTTTAATTGAAGTAGGGAAAACGTCCAAGACAAATTATGGGCATTGAAGGGAGAAAATGAGTTGGGCATTATTTAAAAATGAAGGATAAAATAATTCTATTGTAACACATGGTATGGATAACAGTATCTCACATAATGTCTTAAAATCCCACAATTTATTTAGTTATAAGACCAGTCTCTAGAGCTTAAAAATACATGGGTGACCATTCTCTGATAAGCAATGGTGAATAGAGTAGACTGGAAAAAGAAACCATCAGACAAGAGGCTCTAAGAGATTGTGCTCTGGGGACTCCAAATGGTAGAGAAAAAACAAGTAGCCAAAAAATAAATATATAGTTGATATGGTTTGGCTGTGTCCCAACCCAAATCTTATGTTGACTTGTAGCTCCCATAATTCCCACGTGTTATGAGAGGGACACAGTGGGAGCTAATTGAATTATGGGGATGGTTTCCCCCATGTTCTCTTGGTTTTCCTCCTTGTTCTCTTGGTAGTGAATAAGTCTCATGAGATCTGATGATTTTATAAGGGATTTCCCCTTTCATTTGGCTCTCATTCTCTCTTGCCTGCTGCCATGTAAGATGTGACTTTCGCCTTTGGCCATGATTGTGAGGCCTTCCCAGCCACATGGAATTGTGAGTCCATTAAACCTCTTTCCTTTATAAATTACCCAGTCTTGGGTATGTCTTTATTAGTAGCATGAGAACACACTAATAACAGCAGTTTCAAAATGTAATTATCATAGCATGTATATCTTATCATAGTACTTTCAACTTAAACAAATATATGCTAATAATATTAAATATTTGAAAACAATATCTTGTATTAAAATTCAGTGACATGTCTGTTTCCTAGGTCTATGCTTCAATATTTTGTACAGAGCCTATGAAAGTTAGCTTAAAATCTCCTGTCACCGGTTTGCAATTGATTTTCATGACATTTGCAGTAAGCATTTTGAAACCATCCTCAGCTATATGTGTAGTAGGAATGCTGCCATATGGCCATACCACTCTGAACCCGCCTGATCTCATCTGATCTCAGAAACTGAGCAGAGTCAAGCCTGGTTAGTACTTGGATGGGAGGAATGCTGCCATAATTTAGATTATTTTCAAACAAGTGGGTGAGAAAGTCTTAGCTGGATCCCAGATCTTTTTGTAATGACTGATTAAATCATACGTTGTCCTCAAAGTTCAATTTTTCTCTTTTTATAGGAGAGGCACCATACTGAAATCAATGAACTTTTCTTGAAAATGCTGGCAAAGATATTCCACATCTGTTTGAAACCACCCAATCTGGTATTGTAAAATGTTAATGGATCTTTAAACCTAATCATCACAGCATCCAAATGAGAGCAATGTATTTCTGAGTCCGTGTCTTTTAATCTACCCTTATGTCAGATTATGCGGCAAAGCTGAAAACCATAAAAATTATCATTGAGCAAGTGCAATGGATTGAATGTTTATGTGCCCTTAAAATTTAAATGTTAAAATCTTAACAGCCCTGGTGATGGTATTAGGAGGTGGGTCCTTTGGGGGTGATTAGACTATGAGGGCAGAGCCCTTATGAATGTGATTAGTGCCCTTATACAAGAGACTCCAGGGAGATTCTTCACCCCTTCTGCCATGAGAGAACACAGCAAAAAGGCAACTATGAATTCGGAATAGGCCCTCATTAGACACAGAATCTGCTGGCACCTTGATCTTGGACTTCCCGCTCTCTGAAACGGTGAGAAATAAACATTTGTTGTTTTTATGAGTCACCCAGTCTGTGGTATTCTGTTAGTAGTCTGAAAGAACTAATCTGGCAAGCTTATTTTAAAAATATTCTATTTATTGATGAAGTCATGAGAATTCCCTATACTATAGTGAGATTGAGCTCCTTTCCTTAAAATGTAAGAAGGACCTCATTTGCACTGTAGCTCTACCTTTGCAGTGGATGGGACCGTGCCCTCCTTAGCATTAGTTGTAGGAGGAAACCTGACATCTGCTACCTCCTGATGTGAGGAAATATGAAGTGTAAGCATCACACGTGATTCTTGCCAAAAGTGTTTGATGTGAATCTAATGAAGTCTGTAGAGCTCATTCCGTATTTATGGGGAAGAGGGGGAGGAATAAGTTAAATGGCACCGTGAACAGACAGTCCGAAAAATTCAGAATTTGGAAATTCGAAAGGACAACTGGCTTAGTAAAAAAAGCCAATTTTATAAAAATTATATTAAAAAATAGGGTCAAGAAATTTTCTAGCTTAAAATAGAGTCATGAGGCACAAATGCAATTGATTTTTGTTATTGTCAAAAGGTATTTTGGGGACAGTTGGAGACATTTGAAAAATGAACTGGGTATTAGATGACATTAAATAATGATTCTGAATTTTTTTTTACTCATGGTACAAAAGCATTTAATAAGCGATGCATCAGTGTAGAAAAACACATCACTTGTAGCTTGTCCTTTAAAAGCAAGATAACCAAGTGAAAAGTCGGTACAGATTCTTATTGTTATGTTTCGAAAATCAAAGGTACACATTAAGAATTGAACTGCTGTGATTTTTCTTCTGTCCAGAGATGACATACATGTTTTCTGGGAAGTAATATTCTACCACACGTTGCACTAAGCCAAAGCAGACAGATGACTGATAAGGGCGTTTACGATTTCCTACTCGCACTGAGCTAGACCAGCAGTGGAACACTGTCTCCGTAGGAGAGATTTTGACAGTAAGAAATGGCAGAGTCCCTACCTAACCCTGAGAACTCAGCAAACTTGTTTATACAGAAAGTATTTTCAGTTAACATGCAAACACACAAACATGCTATAAGAACAGGATACCTTTTAGTGTATTTCTAGCACACAGCATGCATTCATAGGTGCCCAGTAAAATAGGAATGAACGCTAACGTAGAAAGCATTTTTGCCTTCGTAACATTCACGAAAAAGCACACGGTATATAATACTTTAATCTTTAAGTGGGTAATTGTGGAAGTTCCAAAATCATATCCGGGGAAACGAGACATTTAATGGCGGTCTTGCAAGATCGGGTGTCTGATAGGCAGGCACACCCAGGGCAGTCACAGCAGGTAATTTATCTCCTAGCACGCAAGTCCCTCCCCAAGTTCCTCATTGGTCGAGTATTATGGGACTACAGTCTTTCTGGATACTGCCTAAATTGCATTATTCCCTTATAAGGTCATACCCCACTCCCTTCTCTGCTTAAGTTTTGAATTCCCTTACTGCAAGGCTACTCAGGCTACTAGTTTAGCCTGAGAATTCATCTATACAAATATTTTCCAAAAATAACACTTCAAAGAGACTTCTGAAAATAGTGGGACTACATCAGGACCAGCAGAAGACATAGTCACACAAGGACTTCAAATGTTAAGACCAGGAGTTTTCACAGGAGTTTAGGTAAAGGACATCTCTTTCAGTTGATTCCTCCAGCCAGGACAAGCCGTGTTCACAGGAGATTCAAAAATCTCAAGATGGACAGCTGGCTGGAGTAACACCCCAGATAAACATTTAAAAACCTCCCTGAGGCTGAAGAACTGAAACTCTGACTGATGTCAAAAATGAGATGCAAGTGCACAAAAAATTTATGCAAAGCCTGCTGGGATAAAGAGGGTTCATGATGGTGGGTTTTGATACACAAACATGGATGCTGGGTTGAGGAAGGGCCCCCCACGGGGTGGAATGCTTGACATGGGCTTGCTTACAAGGTGCCTGAGTCAGAAGCACCTGAGAGAGGTACCTACTTGGGGAGGGGAGGAGTATTAGAGTTAATGAATACAAGAAGATGATTAGGTCGGGGTCGTGGGGGTCGGGGGGTAGGGGTGGCTCACGCCTGTAATCCTAGCACTTTAGGAGGCCGAGGCAGGCGGATCACTTGAGGTCAGGAGTTCAAAACCAGCCTGGCCAACATGGTGAAACTGAGTCTCTACTAAAAATACAAACAAATTAGCTGGGCATGGTGGTGGGTGCCTGTAATTCCAGCTACTTGGAAGGCTGAGGCAGGAGAATCACTTGAACCAGGGAGGTGGAAGCTGCAGTAAGTTGAGATTGGGCCACTGCAGTACAGCCTGGGTGACAGAGCAAGACCCTGTCTCAAAAAACAAACAAACAAACAAACAAAACAAACAAGAAAAACTGAATAAGATGTTTCAGGATAAATAAGTCCAGGAGGGTTAGGTCATGTTGACTTTTACCTATCAATGCTTAATGCGAATGAAGAGTTGCAGAACAGAATCAGTTTTTCCGGGATATGTTCTGTCATCATGAGCCGAGCCTATTGAACTACTGAGCCTGTGACATTGAGAATGATCCCATTCATTGTCTGGAGGTAGGTCCCAGTGCTGCAGATTGTTCTGGGAAGCTGGCATAGAAGATGATTTGCACAATGAAGTCTCCACTAAACCACGGCTTAAGTCCAGTCTCTGGCCTTCTTTTTCTGCTCTGCAGTCCAGAAACATTTCTTTAAAAGCTGGAGAATCTGTAAATGTGAGCCGCATTTGGAGTACGTCACCAACCACTTCATCTTCGTGGTGCTGTAACGTTGTGAAAGCTGCCATGTTAAAGCCAAGAATTTGCTCCAGCAACTGTTCTTCTATATACTTTTCTGCCAAAGAAATATATTCATTACAAATAGGTATGTAGGTGAGTTTATTCTCTTCGGTGTCCTCAAACTCCTGGTAGTAGTTGTTGATGAAATTTCTCTGTAATAACTGGAAGTCTTCATCCATGATAACGTCCTCTAAATATCCAACCACAGCATCAAAATGTGCATCAGAGTCAGAGAAGAAGGGCACAATGAAGCCTTCTTCTAAAGTACCCATGGTTGGTGCCACCGCACCCACCCAAGTGAGCTGGCCCATTGGGTCCCTGTGGTTCCTAGGGCACAGAGGTCGGCTAGGGGAAGGCTTGCCCAGGCTGAGGCCCACTCTTGAATTTTTTAAGGTATAGTAATAACATTGTGATTATGCAAGAGAATATCCTTATGTTTAGGAGATTCATGGTTAAGAACTCAGAGATGAAATAGCATGGCACTGCATTTTACTTAGAAATGTTTTAGTCAATTATACAAACATACAGGAAGCAATTATAGCAAAATACTTGAAACTGCTGAATGTAGGTGGCAGGCATATGGGTGTTCCTTGCTCTAATCCAAGGGTGTCCAATCTTTTGGCTTCCCTGGGCCACATTGGAAGAAGAACTGTCTTGGGCCACACATAAAATACACAAACACTAATTGTAGCTGATGAGCTAAAAAGAAAATCACAAAAAAATCTCATAATATTTTAAGAAAGTTTACGAATTTGTGTTGGGCCGCATTCAAAGCATTCAAAGCTGTCCTCGTCCACATGTGGCCCGTGGGCTGTGGGTTGGACAAGCTTGCCCTAGTCTTTCAACTTTTCTGAATATTTGAAAATAAATATATTAATATACAAAATATAAATTTAAAAATCATAATTTGAATAATGAAGATCTTTTCAAATAAGCTTGAAGGCTATACCTTATCAATTTGCAGTATTTCCAATTATATATATATTTTTATTGATCATGTTAAAGATCCATAAAGGTCCACAATGTGAGCCAAACCTTTTAAAAATATTTGCTTGGTGAACCATCTTATTTAGACATGACATTCAAACACTTAAATGACATTTGAAAGATTATGAATAATCTGTCAGTGAAGGGATTATTTTAAAACATTCATTGATGATTATCTCTTTCTCCAAGACTTGGTAATTGATGAATAATAAAATGATTTGTTAAAGCATCTGGTACCTCTTTTTAAAGTTGGCTCTAAACTTACATTATTGGTGCTCCATCTGTTAAATAAGCAATGATGTTGGAAAAGGAAATTTTTTTCCCTTTAATTAATTTTAGGGTTCCAAATATTGACAATTTTTTTGCATTCATTGTTAGTACTTTTGAAAATAATCTTTTCTGCATAATTTTTCTGTCCTTGCACACTTTATAGATGCAAATATTAAACTCTTATGATTATTCAGGTTACTTTTGCCCACTCATAATCAAGATTATTTGCATTATGCAGTTGATTTCAATATCTTTTACCATCTTCTTAAAGCAGTATTACAATGGGATAGAGAAATTATTTGGTTTGGATTTCTTTTTATCCTCTTTGTACTAATCTCTTATATAGCTTATGAAACTAATTTTCTTAGAATATTGTACGATGTACCATATTGCATGATCTTTTATGTTGTTCTGTAAGAACCAGTGAGACTCACCTCCTTTTGCAGAGAACATTCTTGAACATTCCAGTGACACTATAGCAATTTTCAGTTTTCCTTAAATATCATAAATAAATTATATACACACACACACACACACACACACACACAGCTTTGCCAATGTGATCAACATGTTCCTTTGTAAAATGTTCACTTACTCTTGATGGGTTCATTGGCTTAACTAGAAAAAAATGTGTTGGCGGAATAGACATATTGGTGACTGTTCATTTCTGCATAAAAGCTGTAAAACCCAATTTAATATATTCGACTGAATATTTGCCCACGTTTAAAATTTATATTTGACATTTTGAAATAAGAGCTAAATGAGGAAATCTGTACATCTACTTGCAGTCACCATGAATGCCTCATCGACAAATGCAGATGGATACAGGAGTGTTGTGTTGGTGACTCAAATACCACCCTCAGTGGTGCTCATAGTGATGTGATTTCTGAAATGGGAAACAACTCTTGATAAAGTTCTGAACATAAACCAAGTACATTCTTTCCTCAGTTTATGGCAGTTATATTCCTGTGAAATTCAATATATAACACCATGCAAAAATACTTTTGATTTGATATAAAACAGAGTATGAATCTTTTTTTTTTTGACAGAGTTTTCGCTCTTGTTACCCAGGCTGGAGTGCAGTGGCGTGATCTCGGCTCACTGCAACCCCTGCCTCCTGGGTTCAAGCAATTCTCCTGCCCAGCCTCCTGAGTAACTGAGATTACAGGCAAGCGCCACTATGCCTGGCTAAGTCTTTTTTTTGTATTTTTAGTAGAGATGGGGTTTCATCATGTTGGCCAGGCTGGTCTTGAACTCCTGACCTCAGGTGATCTGCCCGCCTCAACCTTCCAAAGTGCTGGGATTACAGGTGTGAGCCACTGCACCTGGCTCAGAGTTTGAATCTTAACTCAGATAATTATAAACAAGTTTTTCACCTACAGAAAGTCCAGTGGAACATTCCAAAGTTGAACATGATGCATATAGTTTATATTTTTTGTACTGAACTATATGGATATTGCAAGGTATCTAGCTTCCTGGCTTGTCCACTGAATATCTGTTGTGTTCTCCCAACCCCTAAACTTATTACAACTAAAAATGCCCCTTACATTTTTGAAATGTCTCCTAGGAGCTGTATCTCCTCTTTTGAGAACCACTGGCTTAGAGTTGAAAAAGAGTCAATAAATACATAAGAAAAATAAAACATTGTAAGTGCTCTGCATTCACTAGTAATTCTAATGTAGAAAGGCTCCTAGGAGAAGTGATATGTAAGCTGAGTCTTGTAAAATCCATGTGGACTAGGATAAAAGGACATGGTAGGCAGAATGAATATGTTATCAAGTTTATAATACTCAAGACTTGCAAATAGTTTGGTACAACTGGAATCTAGGATGCG